CCGTGCTCGTTTTTTCCCCACATTATTAAACTAAAATTGTTCAAAAATAGCTGAACCATCTTAAATTTCTTTATACACAACTGAACAATTATAGGCTAAATTACTCCCAACAACTCGCAGGGTTATATAAGGACTCTCTTTAAAACACCCTGTGCATGTACATAACGTATTAAATGGTAAAATATTTCTACTAACCTCTGTTTCTCGCCTTCTTCGTTCTTGGCTGAACAAGATTGTTAAAGATTTTCCGTAATTAGTCCACAAACAGAGTAGCCTAAGAAATTAATGCTGTGGCCGGACATAAACTTATTTACGTTTCTTTTTTTTAAATACTTCTTTAGTTACTTTGTGCGATAAAGGGCGATACCATTTAGACATCAGCTGTTTAATCTGCTTTTCCTTTTGTAATAAGCAACTTTTTCTTTCAAAATTTTTTATTAATTTTTTCAATTCCTAGCTTTGACGGCTAACATTTTTATAATACTTGGTAAAGAGACTGAATGGTAATACCGCGGTACGTCACTTAGACGTCACAGGGTATCATTAACTTTCATAAAGGATACAATTCATCAACACCAGAAACTGCCCTGACCTAGACAAGTTGGAATAAGCAAAGATTTTTCATCATGGTTAAATGAGCTAAACTAAGCGCATTTAAACTGTTATAAAGGCTGTTTTCCATCACATTCGCGTCACTTTAACCTGGCAGTGGTACAGTCATTTCCACAATAGAATGTGTTGCTTTGTTTCATAAAGATTTATGTGATAAAGATTCCGTGTTTTATTTACACGTGCGTCATTAATGCATGCTTTAGACGAGACGACAGATGCACAAATTGGAAATGAGTTTTCACTGAATAAATTTATTGGCAATTATTTCGTTCGCATTTACGTGCGCGTCAAAATAGCACAATTAAACATGCATATGCACGTATGGGCACATCTGAAACATCTGTGTATCAGAAATTTTAAAGTATTATTTTCATAGCGAATGGAACATTCTATCTTTCTTGGAAGGTAAATATTATTTTATTAAGAAAAAGAAATATTTTCCGTGTTTTATACATACAGTTATAGTGTTTATATAGCGTTTCTATGACTGTATAGAAACACAAAAAAAGTTTTCTATTTATTTTATAATATAACTCTTTAAAAAGATTTGTACAAATACTATGATTCGATTCAATTACAAATTCTCATTATATCACTTCGTTTGTCAAGTTCATTCTGGGTTTTACCGTTCTGCGCAAACATTCAGCACTCTATGCCGACGATTATGTATGTGTTAGTTTCTGTCATCACGATAGTTTCTATCGCTACATTTACCATTTCGAACCATTTGTCCACACCACCGGCAAATCTAGGCGATTTGGAAGGAAAAATTTCGAACGAAATGGAGAATTTGAGGCAGGACAGACAAATGGTTCGCCGTTCAGTGTTTACCATGCTTAGAAACTTTGACAGTTTATCAAAAACCTTTCCTACTTTTAGTCAGCTCAATAAGTATGTCATTTTCAGTTTCATATTTTCGCGAGCAAGCCCTCTCAATATCAGTGGATATGACCCCCCCCCCGTAACAAAATTTTGTTGATGAAAAAACACTTGCCCTAGGTATACCAGATAAATCTTAACAAAGCGTGCCCTATATAGGTATACCAGATAAGTCTTAACTATCCCTACGAACACAAAAATTTCCCAAATTCTGCAACATTTCCTGATAAACGGAAATTTTACATTTGGGACATTTTTTGGTACACCCTGTATGACAACATACCTGCCGTTTCTTCAATCTTGCGAGGCACGAAATACTTAAACCACGGCAGTCACCACGCTTATAAAGAAAAATCGACATCGACTAATTTTAAACAGACAACCAGGCATGGGTTGGCAGTGACCTCCTTTCAGTGAAATAATTCATATGTTCCCAAGAAACATTCTTGTTTTAAACAAAGACGAGATTTGACTAGTTGGCAGTCACGTATGACTACACTACACACAACAAATTTTATACTTGAGATGTACCTTGTATATAGGCATAGCTCCATTAATTACAACGCCAAACTCTAATTAAAGTGGATGGTCGTCTTGAAAATCTAATTGTGCGCGCAATGTTTGAAACCCATATTAATAAACTAATAACTACTGTCTCTGTTTGGTGAAATTTAGCCTGTTTGAGAAACCCACCTTGAAAATGTACTATCTATAGTCGTTATAGAGTTAGCGAATTATAACATGTACAATAAGTGAAATTTCGAACATTGCGTACCCGATATCGTCTTGCCACACGACCTTTCTACATTCTGCATAAATTTGAGTATTCGTAGACCTTCTATACGAGTAAACATGATGTATCACTTACTTGGCCATTTGTTGAAGTTAGGTAGGTAAAGAGAATCAAAAGTAAAACTGTCTTCACGCAAAACGACACCATATTTTGGTAATTTAGTTCCAAAATCACAACGTAATTATGCAGCGTATAGTCACTATAGTGTACTAATGTTGAATGATGATCTCATTTTATAAGCAACAGCCCACGTCATCAAGTCATCACGTCACGCGATCCAACATTTAAGCACAACAGATTATGTGCACGAAAATACATGTATTTATACTGCAGTATTGAGGTATTTTTTTTTAAATGCTATAACATGACAAAAGGAAACCGTTCGGCTCGCTGAGGACAAAAGGAAACCGCTCGCTAAGGCATCGATGTTAACTGAAGTAAATTTAAACACAGCTGCATGTGGTATACGGTAATAAACAGCCGCAACATGCTGAAACTTGCAAACTGAAATGCGTCAGAGAAATTCAATAGGTCAATGAATAGTGTCCAACGCCCCAAGAAAAAACGTCTGCACTTGCGTCCAACCTGTGTAATGCATATGCATAATGGTTAAAATCTTTCTGCCACTGAAATAATTAATTGAAAATGTGAATTTTGGTAATTAATTTTATTTTAACGACCCAGGCATCACCAGGATCGACGGTCGAATTTTTCAGGCTAAAGAATCCAGGGGGAAAACGGAGGCAGCCCTGTCACGGTGTCACCTTTGCAATTATATTGTATCGAGGTGACAACAACATAATGATCAGAATAATGAGCGTGTACTACAGAATTTCTAATTGTGTGGAACGAAGTAAAATAATACATTTACATTATTGTCACAATTCACAAATACCGATTATATGTAACCTAACAATCCGCACGGCGTGACATATTACTGTGTCAATAATTCTATATTGACTGCAGTTTTTTAGTTCCGACGAGAGGTTTCAAAAAACTAGTTGTAATAGTATTGATTCGTATCGTTCCTAATGTCAGTCGACGCTTCAAACATTTAGGTATTAATAAGTATAATTTGTAAGCATCTGTACGTCTAAAACTGCGAAAACATTTTGCATCCTTCGTATTGTGTGTAAAATGTGGCTTGTATTAATTGTAGGATAATTATATCTCGTAATATACATCGCACCAATCAATATGCATGTAAATGTTGTATCGTAGTAATGTCTTATGTGCATATATATTTTGCATCCTTCGTATGGTTTGTAAAATGTGGCTTGTATTGTCGGATAATTACATTTCGTCATACATTATTGGGTCAAGTGCGCAATAATGCATTCTGGGTCACCGAGGTCCAAAACGCGACTTACACACGACGAAACCTAGACTCATGCTCTACTAGAGCACGAGTAATAAAGCTTTCTTATAATTACGATTCTTGCATGGGAAGACGGCTCTTCTCGTGATCATGCACATTCCGTGTATGCTTGTGGGTTTGAAGTCTCCATTAACTTCAACTTCAAACCCAAAGTCTTTAGAGCTAGACTTTTAAGAATGTAATTATGTAAATTCCCGAATGAAAGATTTAAAAAACCAACCTTTATCCGAATATAAATTATTTTCGAAACAATGCAACATGGCAGATACATATTCGCCGGAGGAAACGAAGCCCCTTAACGACTAATTTGATGTGGTTGTTCTAGCTATAGCTAACGTATACTTTCTCATCTGTTTAAAGGTAATGTACGCATGCTTTGTTTCCGGCAAAGGTTGAGATTGAAATTTCCCGCCAGATTTTCATAATTTGGCGCTCAGAGTAATATCTTATACATCTCTGGTATAAATTTCATTGGAAATTCTATGTAATGTGTTTACTGGAATCGCAACTGGAATATTATTACTTGCTCGGGATTTCTCATTCAAAGAAAGCAATGAACTTTTTTACCCAAGGTATGGCAGATTCTTTGGGCGTATGTTGGGTACCTTTGGGCCATGCCTATAAACTACCACGGATGTGGAGCCAAAATTTCTAAAAGATAGATTTGCATCCGAATATTTGAAATCGACAATTTCTAACAATGCATCACGGGATGAACTTAATCAGGGAAAACCGCCCTTGAAAAACAAATCCGGTATGGAATGGCCCTGGTTAATTGTATGTGGAACTGCTTACGAAATTCTGGAACAACGTTGAAACCAAAATTAAAATTTTAATTAAAATGCCTTTTGTGTGAACAAAGCTTCCAGCAAATGGTTTCACAAAGATTTGACCAAATCGCTGTCATAATCACTAAGAACATTGTCATTAAAATGCTTAACGTATAAAGATCATATGCCCACAGAATTACAGAATTTATATGCCTACAGAATTACGATAATTTTAGAGTCGGAAACCTTTCGTGAGACAAGGCAATTTCGTTTCTTGCCCAAAAAAATGCTTCGCTATTTATACTGATATAGATTAGAAAACTGATGAAAGCTTGCGGAAAAAATTTGACATTGCGGAAATTTTGAAATGTGTACGATAACACTAGAAATTTATTTTTGATTATTTTTCATCATAAATTTGATGAAACATCATGTATATGCATGATTGATCTGACTTTATTTTGTATAAATCAATTGCCTTATCTCTTGAAAATATTGCTTCACATACCCTCCATTACATGCAACGATATTCTTTCTAATTTCTTTCTATTCTTCCTATGTTATTTTACTTGTTTTCTACAGTCTTTTATCCACGTGCTAACTGCTAATTATTCATTCCAGCGTCAACCAACCGTTCAATAATTTCATCTTCACTCTATACAGAAACACATTAAATACTATATTATTACGGTTTACGGAGTACTTCGGATCCGCGCAATCTGCGATAAAAGACTGAAATAGGTCCTGTTTCCAAGTGTATCCAATCAACTTTTAGTTGTTTGAGGCTGTAACGTACTGCAAGCTTACGTTAAAGCTAATCTTTGCAACAGTTCGATATGATTTCCGGGGACTTTTAAAGTTCCAAGTTGTAGTAATTAGTTGAATAAAAGGCACATGTTCGAGGAGTATTTTTGTGATGCGTCATCATCAATTGACCGTAAGGAAAAAGATAGCGGCATGTACATTTTACCAGAATGCATTGTGGGCATTAAGAATGATTGACTGAAAAAAGATAGCAAGAAAAACTCCTAATGACGTGAAATTTTAACACAGCGAAGAAAATAACTTCCTGTTTTATGCCTGTCCTTTAAAAGACGTCAGTTCGCTTTTTTTAACAATTTCCGACCGCAATGGATTCTGGTAAAATGTACATCCGCCATCTTTTTTGTTATGGTCAATTATGATATTGGTGCTCAAATAAAATGTTCGACCGAAGAAAAAAAATTGACGACACTAATAAAAAAGGGTTTATTTTTAATAGTTCATAAACGCAAAAATATAGTGGAAATGTCAGCATCGTCCGTGCTCGTTTTTTCCCCATGTAATAAAACTAAAATTGTTCAAAATGGCGATGCATCTTAAGATTTTTACCACTCACACAATATTAATTACTCCCAACAAGCTCGCAGGGTTAAAAGCACTCTCTTAAAAACGCCCGGTGCATGTAGATAACGTATTAAATGGTAAAATAGTTTTACTAACCTCGGTTTCTCCCCTTCTTCGTTCTTGGCTGAACAAGATTGTTAAAGATTTTTCGTAATTAGTCCACAAACAGAGTAGCCTAAGAAACGGATGCTGTGGCCGGACATAAACTTATTTACGTTTCTTTTTTTTAAATACTTTTTTTTAAATACTTCTTTAGTTTTTTTGTGCGATAAAGGGCGATACCATTTAGACATCAGCTGTTTAATCTGCTTTTCCTTTTGTAATAAGCAACTTTTTCTTTCAAAATTTTTTATTAATTTTTTCAATTCCTAGCTTTGACGGCTAACACTTTTATTGGTAAACTAAGACAGTAAGACTAAATGTTAATACCGGTACGTCACTAATACGTTATAGGGTATCTTTATAGGGTTTAATTCATTAACTTTCATAAAGGATACAATTCATCAACACCAGAAACTGCCCTGACCTAGACAAGTTGGTATAATCAAAAAATTTTTATTATGGTTAAATTATAACAAGCGAGCGGCGAGGGAGCGTCTTCAAACAACTTAGCATCAACTGTGGTATAACGATAGTGTCTGTTGCCAGACACTTTACCTCTGGTAATCATTGTGTACAAGGCATGAGAATTAGTGCCCTCTGTCCCATTTCCGGTACTAACGATAGCCGTAAACGACAAGAAATGCGACTCATCTACAGTCTTGGCACTCTTCATCCCTCCGGCATAAATGAAAGACTCTCTTTCAATTCATGCGAGTAATATGACTTCAATTTCTTTATTTACATCAAAGCTGCATGGTTTAATATATTTTCGTTACTGATCAGGCTTCCCTCATTGCAGGCATCTCTTTGGCAGCGCAATTAAGTATTCCAATTTGTATTGATTTTTTTTTCTATTGGCCCATTTTTATCACGTGTTTTGTCCTCATACAAAACATGTATTCTCCCCTATTTATTTTCACACTAACTCTCCTGACGAAGGCCCTCATGCATGCTGGTCGAAACGTCGAGAAGTGTCTTGTCTATTTTAGGCAGTTGTTATTCCACAGTTGATGCTACATGGTTAAATTAGCCAAACTAAGGTAGCGCATTTAAACCACATTTTTATAAACTGCCAGCCCTGTTTTCCATGACATTCGTGTCACTTCAAAATTCGGCTCATGCGACTGTAACAGGCCTGAAAAACGAAGCATGAGATGACTTTGAGGTATTGAAATCACTCAAATCAGTATATAACATGATCCTGGCAGTGGTGCAGTCATTTCGACAATAGAATGTGCTTGCTTTGTTTCATAAAGATTTATGTGATAAAGATTCCGTGTTTTATTTACGCATACGTCAATGTAGCATGCTTTAGACGAGACGTCAGATGCACAATTGTAAATGAGTTTTCTTTTTAAATAATTTTATTGGCAATTATTTCGTTCGCATTTACGTGCGCGTCAAAATAACATAAATTAAACATGCATATGCACGTATGGGCACATCTGAAACATCTTGGTATCAGAAATTTTAAAGTATTATGTTTCATTGCGAATGGAACATTCTATCTTTCTCGGGAGGTAAAAATTTTTGTAAATATTCTTATTGCATGAATAATGAAAACATTAATTATTTTTCATATGTAACACCATACCGTGACAATTCGTAAACATCTCATCCTATATTATTCACGGATTAGTGATCAAATGCCTATGAACGAGTGCACGATTGAATGTGCTGATTTTAATGCAACAGCGCAATGCCAAAACGCTTTTTACGCTTAGACCGAGCAATGGAAACTGCCATTAAAAAAACGATGGAAATTTTTAAAGCGACGCGACCGCAATGTTAGGTTATTTCTCATGCGCTGTATACATATGAGAAAATAGATCATACCTGCCGTTTCTTCAATGTTGCGAGGCACGAAATACTTAAACCACCGCCACCACCCTTAGTAGTGCCCTTAGTGGCTGGTGGTCCTCACTATAAAGAAAAATCGACTTCAACTATCGTACGGTTAAGTTTCTATTTTAAACAGATAACCTGGCAAGAGTTGGCATTGACCTTCTTTATAATTCATGTTTCCAATGTGCGGGCAATGTTTGAAAATTGTATTAATTAACCACTGTCCCTATTTGGTGAAATTTAGTCGGTTTGAGAAACCCGCATTAAAAATGTACTATCTATAGTCGTTATATATAGAGTTAGCAAAGTACATGTAAATAAGAAAATTTGGAACATTCAACTGCGTAATCGATATCGTTTTGCCACACGACCTTTCTACATTCTGCAAATAACTTTCTACGAGTAAATAATTATGATGTGTCACTTACTTGGCCGTTTGTAGAAGTTAGGTAGGAAAAGAACATCAATAGTAAAACAGACTTTACGCAAAACGACACCATATTTTGGTAATTTGGTTCCAAGATCACAGCTTGTGCAAGGTATATAGTCACTATAGTGTACTAATGTTGAATGATTATCTCTTAGTATATCGTAATTTATAAGCAACAGCCTACGTCATTAGTCAACACATGACGAGACAGCAGCCAAGCACAACAGATTATGTGTATGAAAATACAGTCCAACCTGTGTGCAATCAAGGCCGTAGCTAGAAGCTTAATTGGGGGGGGGTGTATATTCATATATTCCTCCTATGCTCGACTGATTTCGTTTGTACGCTATTGTTCCTACGGTATATGAACATGAATATATGAATATACTCCCCGCCCCCCCCCAATTAAGCGGTCTAGCTACGGCCCTGTGTATTAGGCAATGAAAGGCGGCTCAAAATTTCCAAAAAATGAAGTGACTTCATCGCGCTTCGGTTCTTCTCATAACAACAATGCGCACAAAGTTGAAAATTGCCTAATTTCGCATTTTCGGCTAATATTCGTCTAAAATCATAGTGAACCAATAATGCATGAGATAAATATACCGCTCAAAAAAGTTTAAAATCTAAAGAAGTTAAAATGCAAACAGTTTGTTCACGACTTGATATCATATTATTTTCGAAACATTGCAACATGACAGAGGCATATTCGGAGGAGAGGAAACCACCTAACGAATCCTTTGGTATGACTCTGGTTGTAGTGTGGCAACTAGTACTGTGAGTCTGTGACCCTATATTCACGAAATCAGGAAACAATAATTACTGAGAATCAAATCATTTTAATTCAAATGTCTTTGTGTGAACAAAACCTTCCAGCAAATGGTTGCACAAAGATTTGACCAAATGCTGTCATAATCACTAAGAACACATGTCATTAAAATGCTTAACATATCGGGATTATATGCCTACAGAATAATTACGATAATTTTAGAGTCGGAAACATTTCATGAGACAAGGCAATTTCGTTTTTGTTCAGAAATATGCTTCGCTTTTATACTATAAATGAGGAAACTGATGAAAGCTTGCGGGAAAATGTTGACATTTTTCACATTTGAAGATACAAGGCAAAAAAGCTAAGCTTTTGTGCAGAAACGTTAAATTGGAATTGCTACTTACAACTGCTTAATTGATGACATTACTCGTATGTAGGTTTGAACATTCGATAACATTGAAAAGCATGCACGATCTAACATCACGATCTAATTTTTGTAAATCAATTGCATTATCTCTCGAAAATTTTGAGAATTATAATTCGGTACTCATATACGCTTCTACGATTTTCTTTCAAATTATTTCACTTCTACAGTCTCTTGTTGAGGTGGCTTCTATTTCTTCATTGCAACGAACCGTTCAATAATTTCATCTTGACTCTAGACAAGTACATTAATACTATAATTATTTCCGAGAGTGTATAGTCTGGGAGATAGGAGACTGGTCAACCACTTTTAATTAAAGTTTTAAGGATTTCTGATAACGGTTCGAATAATAATGATGCTACCCATGGCCATGCATGCAGGACAATATTTTATGATCGGTCATCATTGCAGTAACTACTAAATTTTGATTGGAAGCAAATTATCTCGAGGATGTATAATTCGCAAGTTTGAGAACATGCGAGTTTCACGAGCACCCACTCGTCCTTTCTCATTTTTCCTATAAATGTTCAGAAAAGCTCTTCTATCTAATGTAATGTTCACACAATCAACCTAATTTACTTGCAACATATGAAGAAGCATATATATGTCGAGGAAACATAATCCTACTCACCCCTACGTCTCTCTTTCTTTCAACCTTTAGTTCCTGACTGGACAAAATTGTCAAAGATTTTTTATAGGCTTACACCGAAATACAATAATTTTCACCCTCTTTTCCGCGTTTTACTCTTTTTTTCGCGTTTTACCCTCTTTTCCGCGTTTTACCCTTTTTTCCGCGTTTTACCCTTTTTTCCACGTTTTACCCTCTTTTCCGCGTTTTACCCTCTTTTCCGTGTTTTACCCTTTCTTCCGCTCCCGCGTTTTACCCCTTTTTCCGCTTCCGTCATTCCGGTTCCGGCATTCCGCTTCCGCGTTTTACCCTTACCCGTCCTCAAAACAGAGTAGCTTAAGAAATGAATGCTGTAGCCGGACATCCGATCTTATTTACGTTTCTTTTTTCAAATACGTCTTTAATTACTTGGTGCGATAAAGGGCGATACAATTTAGACATGAGCTGTTTTATCTGCATGCTTTTCCTTTTTTATAATAAGCAACTTTTTCTTTCAAAATTTATATTTTTATTTTTTCAATTCCTAGCTTTGACGGCTAACATTTTTATAATACTTGGTAAACTGAGACTAAATGGTAATATCACTACGTTACGAACACGTTTTATGGTATCTTTATAGGGTTTAATTCATTAACTTTTATAAGGATACAATTCATCAACGCCAGAAACTGCCCTGACCTATACAAGTTGGTATAAAAAAAAAATTATCATGATTAAATTAACTGAACTAACGGCTAGCGCATTTGAACTGCATGCATTTTTATAAAGGCTAGCGCTGTTTTCCATCACATTCACAAATTGTAAATCAGTTTTCTTTTCAAATAATTTTATTGGCAATTCTTTGCTTCGCATTTACGTGCACGTCAAAATAACATCAATTAAACACGCATGTATGGCACATCTGTGTATCAGTTTTAAAGTATTATGTTTCATTGTGAATGGGGCATTGTATCTTTCTCGTATCGACATTGGCTGAATGAAAACATTATAACTATATTTGTTTTATATAACACCAAAAAGCTTCAAAACATATAAGTTATATAGTGAGTGATTTCGTACACAGTGTGTGACGGAAAGAATATCCCATCCTATATTATTCGCGGTTTAGTGATCAAATGCATTCATAAGAACGAGCTAGTGTGTGATTGAATGTAGTGCATGATTTTAATGCAACAGCGCAATGGAAAAACTATAATGGAAATTGTCATTAAAACTGATGAACATTTTTAAAGCGACGTGATCAGACACAACCATTAAAAGACATGAAATAAATAAGGTGGTACATATATATATGAGAAAATAGATCTTACCTGCCGTTTCTTTGATTTTGCGAGGCACCAAATACTTAAACCAGTGCCATGTGGACTCTTAGGTCCTCACTATAAAGAAAAATTGACATCGACTATCGTACGGTTAAGATTCTATTTTAAACAGACAACCTGCCAAGAGTTGGCAATGACCTCCTTTCAGTGAAATAATTAATATGTTTCCAAGTAAACGTCCTCATTTAAACAAAGACGAGATTTGGCTAATTAGCAGTCACGTATCACTACACTACACACAACAACTTTTAGACTTCAAATGTACCTTATATATGTATATAGCTACACTACAACGCAAAAAGCTTAAAGTTCATGGTCGTCTTGAAAATCCTATTATCAAATTTGAATGTGCATGCACGGAATGTTTGAAAACCTTATTAATTAACTACTGTCGCTATTTGGTGAAATTTAGCCAGTTTTAAAGACCCGACTTGAAAATGTACTATCTAGCCATTATGGAGTTAGCAAGCGATATGTAAATAAGCGAAAATTTGGAACATTCCACTTCGTAGCCGATATCGCCTTGCCACACGTTCTTTCTACATTCCACAAATAACCTTCTGAGAAAACCTGATGTGTCACTTACGATTTGTGCATTTGTAGAAGTTAGGTAGGTAAAGAACATCAAAAGTAAAACTGTCTTCACGCAAAACGACGCCATGTTCTGGTAATTTGGTTCCAAAATCGCAACGTATAGTCACTATGGTGTACTAATGTTGAATAATGATCTCTTGAAATATATATCGTATAAGTAACAACCTACGTCATCATGCAGTCATCACATGACGAGACAGCAGCCAAGCACAACAGATTGTGTGTATGAAAATACAGTATTGAGGTAATTTAAAAAAAACCAGCTAGCATATATAAGGAGGATAGTGTACGTTAGTATCATGTTACTTAAAGTGATCGTTTACGTATGAAACAAATGCGGAATTATGTAAAAAATGTACTGTGTTTATGTAAAGATTCGCTCACGAAATCTTTTTTTAATTTCTTTCAGGCATAAGCAAAAGCACTCCTCTGAGGACAAAAGGAAACCGTAAATTTAAGTACAACTAATTTTGACACTGTGGTAGGGGAATAAACAGCCGCGCAACATCAGGCTGAAATTTGCAAAAATTGTGTCACAGAATTCGAAGTTCAATAGGTCAATATAAAATAATGTCCAACACAGCAGGAAAAACATGCGTCAATCCTGCCAGTAATTAGCAATAAAATCTCCAAATCTCCAAAAAAAGAAGTGACTTCATTGCGCTTCGGTTCTTTTCATAACAACGCAAAGCCCGCGAAGTTGAATATTGCCTATTTTTGCATGTTTCGGCTGATTAATACTTCATGGTAAAAATGCACCCTTCTAAACAGAAGTAGTCAAAATTTATGCGTTTTATAAACAAATATAAACAAACTTGTGGATAGGTCTAAAACGAAATGGTTGAAATCTTTCTGCCACTGAAATAATTAATTGAAAATTTAACTTTTGAAAACTTATTTTAACGACCCTGGTAGGTCGAGGGTCGAATTTAAAGGGGAAGAAACCAGAGGAGAAACGGAGGCTGCCCTGTGACCTTCGAAATTATTATATAGCAATATTTTCTATTCAACATTAATTTTATCTTAATCCTAATATAAAGCTTTGTTATAATTGCTATTCTTTGGAGGATGGATTTTCTACAGATCACTGCACATTCCGTGTATGTTTCGGGGGTTGAAGTCTCCATTAACTTTAACTTCAAACCTGAAGTCTTTAGGGCCCCTTCAAGAATAAAAGATTTAAAAAACCAACTATATACGAATATAAATTATTTTCGAAACAATGCAACATGGCAGAGACATATTCGGAGGAGACGAAACCACCTAACGACTCCTTTGGTATGACCCTGGTTGTACTGTGGCAACTCTGACCCTCTTCACGAAATCAGGAAATAATGACTACTGAGAATCAAATCATTTTAATTCAAATGTCTTTGTGTGAACAAAACCTTCCAGCAAATGGTTGCACAAAGATTTGACCAAATGCTGTCATAATCACTAAGAACACACGTCATTAAAATGCTACATATCAGGATTATATGCCTACAGAATAATTACGATAATTTTAGAGTCGGAAACATTTCATGGGACAAGGCAATTTCGTTTTTTGTTCAGAAATATGCTTCGCTATTTATACCATAAATAAGGAAACTGATGAAAGCTTGCGGAAAAATGTTGACATTTTTCACATTTGAAGAGACAAGGCAAAAAAGCTAAGCTTTTGTCCAGAAAAGCTAAATTGCAATTGCTACTTACAACTGCTTAATTGATGACATTACTCGTATGTAGGTATGAACATTCAGATAACATTGAAAAGCATGCACGATCTAACATCACGATCTAATTTTTGTAAATCAATTGCATTATCTCTCGAAAATTTCGAGAATTATAATTCGGTAATCATATACGCTTCTACGATTTTCTTTCAAATTATTTCACTTCTACAGTCTCTTGTTGAGGTGGCTTCTATTTCTTCATTGCAACGAACCGTTCAATAATTTCATCTTGACTCTAGACAAGTACATTAATAGTATAATTATTTCCGAGTGTATAGCCTGGGAGATAGCAGACTGGTCACCCACTTTTAATTAAAGTTTTAAGGATTTCTGGTAACGGTTCGAATAATAATGATGCTACCATATCCATGCATGCAGGACAATATTTTATGATCGGTCATCATTGCAGTAACTACTAAATTTTGATTGGAAGCAAATTATCTCGAGGATGTATAATTCGCAAGTTTGAGAACATGCGAGTTTCACGAGCACCCAGTCGCCCTTTCTCATTTTTCATATAAATGTTCAGAAAAGCTCTTCTACACTGTAAATTCAAAAGAGTCGTTTTGGCCAGGGCGAGTCATTTCAACACCTTTATTCAAAATGTCATTTTTACTCCTCTAATGTGTCGTTTCGACTCTAATAGTCGTTTTAACTCCGACATTGGGTTAAAATGACAATTCGGAGGACTCGTTTAGTTCTTTTGAAGGGTCACAAGACTCTCGCAAGAGTCAATAGACTCTTAAGTAGAGTTCACATGGAGTCATGTGACTCGTTCTTGGAGCCATATGATTCTTTGTAGGAGTGGTGGAACTCTTTCTTAGAGTCATTCTGGCTTTTATAACAGCCACTTATATACAAAACAAATAACTTGCATGTTTAAAATATTAAATTGAAGTCATTAGGCATGTTATATGTATTCCAAATCCTTTGTATTTGAAACAAATAACCAGTCAACACATTAAAAAAATACTCAATTATTTTGACACAAACACACTTGATATTAGTTGTTATCGTTTCTTCATGTATCGAGAAAGTCTTATAACTGTCTATTTGTAAGTTAGTTGTGGAACCCCGTTATTGGAGACATATCTCTGTGTGGTGATTCCAACCATTGCATGTGTGTAGTTCATTTGTAGTTTATGTGTAGTTCATTCTAACTTTTTAACATGGCAAATTTATAAAATAAAATAAATATAAAAAAATATATTACACTGCATGTATATAGGTTTTATATTTCTGGAAAATGTCAGCTGGAACAGGATATGCACACATAAAAATATATTATACATAAATCCATTTTAATAGTTCTGACTCATTGATAAGTATATGCTGATATCAAAAATGACAAATAATCAACAAACGTTCTGATTGGCTAAGACAGAAAGTTTGAATTTCAACGAGAACGTCAGCAATTTAACTGTCATTTCGTAAACCTTTTTGTAAAAGCGTTTCATAAACTTTGTGCAAAGTAAAACGGGAAGAAACAAGATATGTGAAGCATGACAGATACCAAAGATGAACAGGGATACAATCAAGACCGAAAGCCGTGTAAGAGAAATAATTCATAATCTGCAAGCTTATTGTTGTTTTCAAAGGGTGCGTGTTTACTTTGTTTCTTTCGTATTTGCTTCGCAGTAAGGATGAGCTGTATTTGTATAATTTTCAGCTTTGTATGCCGTTTATTTGTTTAATTTTCAGCTTTTTATGCAAACGGATAAACCTGTGAAAGGCTATTACACCTTTGCTATAACTTCAAAAAGTGTTTTTGAAAGTGTAATTTGAATTTTGATATAAAAAATACACACTATGTCTATGAAGTATAAAACGTTTAGCCTTCGACTGTAATTACAGAATAAAATAACATTTGAGGCTTTTTCTTTGTCTCTGAAGTTTTCTACTGTTTTAATCGTTTGAAACTTCGATTTTAAACCATTACTTAATTAATTGCTGCTAACATATGGCCATTTACCATATTTTAATTTTAAAAATGTATATCCAACCCATTTTTTAAAGACACCGGACATTTGACAGATGGCCTGTTGGCCGATATTTTAAAGCCTGCATGCTTATATATAGTTATTATATATAATTTCTCTTCAAAGCAACATATTTGCGGGATGCATGTATGGTATGCTGTAATACTCACTGCATATACATTATTAAACATCGTTTACTCAAACTCTGCTTTTGTATTATATGCAAGCTTCATGAAACTAATATTGGTGTACAGTACTATAGTAAAATTGATGCAACAGAATAGTCGTAATGACCTCAAATAAGAGTAAAATCGATGTCAAAAAGGAGTGGAAATGACTCCAAATAAGAGCAAAAACGATGCTAAAGAAGATCTCAAATGACCCGAAATAAGAGTACATTGATGCCAAGGAAGAGTTGAAATGACTCCAAATAAGAGAAAAATCGATGCCAAAAAGGAGAATGACTCAAATGACTCCAAATGAGAGTAAAATCGATGCTAAAGAAGAGTCGAATGACTCCAAAAAAGAGTAATATTGATGCTAAAAGAAGAGTCGAATGACTCCAAATAAGAGTAATATTGATGCCACAGAATAGCCGTAATGACCCCAAATAAGAGTAAAATCGATGCTAAAGAAGAGTCGAATGACTCCAAATAAGAGTAATATTGATGCCACAGAATAGTCGTAATGACCCCAAATAAGAGTAAAATCGATGACAAAAAGGAGTCGAAATGACTCCAAATAAGAGTAAAATTGATGCCAAAGTAGAGTCAAAAATCAAAATGACTCTTTTAAAACGACACTTTTGAGGAGTTAATTTGACTCTAGTTAAAGGGTTAAAATGACTCTTTACAGGTGTCAACCCAAAATGAGTCAAAATGACTCTCTTCAAGGAGTCGTCCTGGGGTCAAGAAAACGACTCCTTTGAAGGAGTCAAAATTACTCTTTTGAATTAACAGTGTATCTAATGTAATGTTCACACAATCAACCTAATTTACTTGCATATGAAGAAGCATATATATGTCGAGGAAACATAATCCTACTCACCCCTACGTCTCTTTTTCTTTCAACCTTTAGTTCCTGACTGGACAAAATTGTCAAAGATTTTTTATAGGGGGATGTATGTCAATAATGAATCATCATGCACAGTGCCTTTTTTAACTATATATCTGGGGGGGCAATTGCCCCCCCAGAGAATGCATTTGCCCCCCCAGTAACTAAATTTCTGCCCCCGTTTACGACACCGTATTGCTCATGATTGCTCTGAGAATTGCCTGTTTATTTACTTGCATGATAAAGAGATTATGCCCTTCCATACGGCTTTTTTCCACAACCATCTTGCATGTAATGCATAATGTTCTTCGACAAATATTTCACAGTAGCGATAGATTTCATAGAATTAATTGAATAGTATGCTAGCTTTCTAAACCTCGTCACAAAGAAAACATTAAATGATACAATGATTATAGCCTGGAACGGTGTCCCTACTGCTTTATATGACCCAAGGCCAGCCGTTGTATCCTTTTTCATGCAGCAAAAAAGACCGACGCAATGCAAGGCCATGTCTTGAAACATATAAACAAAGAGATTTTGTGGCCAAATTTTTTTCCTAAATGCTGTACAACTACAGGGTGTATCAAAAAAAAGTAGACAATTTTGAAATGTTTAGAAAACTATAAATTTATCAAAATATCTCATTGATTTGTGCTAGTATGGGTACTTTGGTATCTTCAGGTCATTCTAACACTAAAAACAAACAGAAAAATTAACCTCGAAAAATGGAAGAGCAGTTTGTGGAAGCGTCATTTTGAATGGCTTGTGCAAACATGAATGAGAGGTTTAAAATCCAATTTGAATTCAAGGGCTGAACGTTTGGGTATTTGTTTACAAAGAATCGAAATTTCAGAAATTTTGATGAAAATTAAGTCAGCCGCGCAACTGCGTAAACGTGGGCTTTTTTCCGTTTAACTCGCAGCTTGAGTAACTTTTTTCACAACACCATTGTTAGTTTAATCACCCGAGCAATCATTCATGCATGAAATCATTCGTGCATGAAAAAAGTTACTCAAGCTGCGAGTTAAACGGAAAAAAGCCCACGTTTACGCAGTTGCGCGGCTGACTTAATTTTCATCAAAATTTCTGAAATTTCGATTCTTTGTAAACAAATACCCAAACGTTCAGCCCTTGAATTCAAATTGGATTTTAAACCTCTCATTCATGTTTGCACAAGCCATTCAAAATGATGCTTCCACAAACTGCTCTTCCATTTTTCGAGGTTAATTTTTCTGTTTGTTTTTAGTGTTAGAATGACCTGAAGATGGTAAAGTACCCATACTAGCATAAATCTATGAGATATTTTGATAAATTTATAGTTTTCTTAACATTTCAAAATTGTCTACTTTTTTTTTATACACCCTGTATAACTGCAAAGAGTTAAAATTATTGTTTGCATTTAAACATAGGTTTCCCTCTGTCTCGCGCGTTCGCCAAACCTCGTCGGCTCATTTTTCGTTTCGCCTTTTTCCTGCATTGCCCCCCCCAGTGAAAATTTCTTAAAAAAGGCACTGATCATGCATATAGTAGATTTTATAGTTCAAAATAGTAAGTACTGTCCCAACTACTTTTGGAAATGATTGTATATAGACGCTCTTAACAGAAATGAATTCATTCGAACCACGTCATTTGATTCCGGATAAAGGACAGACTGTATAGACTGTTTATATTTTGTTAATATACCGTTTGCCAAAACGGTGGCAGAAGACTTACTAGTTTGAAAATCAAATCATATTTATGCTGTGTTTTTTAGCTCAGTTCAACGATGACTTCTGTGAATCAACTTATGCCATTAATTTTATCCACTTAATTGCCACTTAATACACTTTTCGATGATCATTATTACGTCAAAAATACTTTTGCACTGTGAACCCCAGGAGGAAGGCATACTAATGGCCATGCATAGTAGACCAACTTTTGATTTAGGCGACAAGAAGGGAATTTCCGAAAAGAGCATACTATTTATACTCAAAACTTAGTAAAACTGCCAAGTTTGGCAGCAACATATTGTAAAGTACCGAAGATGGTAAATTTTGTATACTGCTGTATTATGCCTGGAAGTGTGTAACTAAATTAGTTGCACGCTTTCGCCCGTAATAAAAAAAGTATCGCTAGATCATAAGTTGGCCCATTACGCAAGTGGTCCTTTGACATAATTAGATGTTGACTGGTGCAATATTAGTTGATCCGTCTGATCTGTATAATTTAATTATAGGGTTTCATAAAGGATACCGCGATTCATCAACAACATCGTTGAAAACTGCTCTGGCCTAAAAAGTTAAAAAAGCAAAGCATTTTAGTGAATCATGGTTGTCAGCTGTTATCACTTATCTCGCAGACAATAACAACAACCTAGCAAGTTTAAACAATTAAACGGTATGGCTGATCTGAGATGACGGAGAAATTATTGACTGTAACGAACTAAACAACAATTTTTTTTCAAATCTTCTTCAAAATTGTACTCGCCCCAGTTCTTTCCACATCACACGTAGACAGACGCTCTGTCAAATTTTAAGTGAGTTTTTTCCAATTATATTTATTGGCATTTCTTCACCTCGTTTTTACCCGGGCATATCCGATAAGCGAACGAAGATAAATAATTATTTAAAATATTGACTAGGTTTATAAACTCGTGACGAGTTCGGACAAATGTTTTTCATAAATACCTGCCGTTTGTTCAATCGTGTGCGGCACGGGCTTTGCAGAGAGCCACCTTTCAGGCCTTTTCACTATACATAAAAAAATCAACATCGCGACTATCATATGGTTTAGTTTCCTAGTCATTTTAAAGACGGAACCTGTCGTGTTGCCGTCCGGAAATATACATTCTCAGGTAAACCGTCTTGGATCAAGCAGACGAAATGGGCCAAACAAACGGACATACAAGTTGATAGCCACGCATTATTTATTATACAAATCTTGCGGGTTCAGACGCACGTTATACATACATACATACATACAGAATTGCCAACCCAATGTATGTATTCAATTGTTCATGTCGTAAGTATCCGTGATTTAGATTATTTTAAACTTTTACGTGCGTATACGCGTGTCAAAAAACGCGGCAGTATAGAAAGCAGCTGTGATATAGTCATTTCGACAATTATTTATGAGTGTGCGCTAGCTGTACATGTCTGCGCAATTAAAATCAAGACAATAATCGGTTGTATTCTGCGGCCATTTGGTAAAAATTAGCCGTCTATAGAAAACCAGCCTTAAAAATACAGTCGTTGGCGTTGGCTTCAAATAACATATAACAACAAGCGAAGAGTTGGATATTTTGCATTCAATTATTAATGTATCATCGCGTCAAACGACCTTTCCGGATTTATCAAATAATCTTTGTTCAGAGAAAGCATATAATTGTCACTTACATTAGTATTGGCATGTGTCAAAGTAAGATAGGTGAAGATCAACAACAATAAAACTGCGTTCAGGCGAAACGAAGCCATGCTTTGGTGCTTGATGTTATACTTACAGCTTGTGCAATTTGCGGAGTACTACTTTAGAATGACGCTCCTTGAAATAGTATCGCCCCTTATTACTAAATAATGTCTTTGTTTTCCAAGAATTCTTAATTGACGTCACGACTGGCAGAATAATATCACACAACAGCATAAATACGCAAAAGTGAGCCAGTGAATATATACATTACGTGAGGAAAGAAAGCGGTAGAGAAAATGTTAAAAATGACAAAATGTTCACATGATGGGGCAGATGGGCGAATGCATTTGTCTAGATGCAGTATTTCAATTACAGCTGAAATTTGACACATGCCACATGGCCACAAAGCCTTTCTTGTTTCAATTCAAATATCGAGTTTCAATTAAGTGGCTTAATTCTTCGAAACTCTTCACTTTTATAAATAAACAGATAATTTAACAGATTATAGAACAGATAAACTCTACCAATCGGTAAATTGCATGGTTTAAAAGCTCAAAAATTCAGTATGAAAGCAGGGAGAGGAGGTTCCGTGCAAGACGGCGATGAATTTAAATTAAGCAATACGAGAGCCGACTTTGTTAAAGAGTTAGTGAAAAGTTTATGAAAATCCGGCAAAATCTGTATCGACTGTTACAAATTTAATTCAATTGCATAGACCTATTCGAAAAAGAGCAGGAGGTCTGTTTCGAGTTACGAGAAAACGAGGCTTGCCAGATTTTCTTTGCTGCATTTTAAAGTTATTTGTGTTTATTCTCACACTTTCATGCTGGACCTGTTACAAGCTACACAAGAGCGAAGTTATTCCGGTCAAAATTTTGAAATATACAGATGATTTTGAAATTTTAATTGCCTCGTTTTCGCGTAACTCGTAACAGGCTTCTCGCTCTCTTTGGAATAGGTTCATGCAATATTATATATTTTCTTTCGAATTTGAGCCTTTCTAAAGGTTGATATTTGAATAGAAATGCAAATTCAATTCAGGCTTATTATAATATCGATGTATCGGGCCCATTATCTTGTTAGTATAAGTCATCGACTAAGGAAAGGGTGAATCTCATCGACTTAGAAAAGGGTGAATGACTGAATGTATTGTGGACACTTTTGCCAGTCGAGAAACAGTGAATAATGCAAATCATATTCATTTTATTTCAAATGTCTTTGTGTGAACAGAGCTTCCAGCAAATGGCTTCACAAAGTTTTAACCAAATGCTGTCATAATCACTAAGAACACCGTCATTAAAATGCTGAATCTATCAAAATTCATACCCAAGAAAATTCCCTTCGATCAAAATAACCTTAGTTTAAAACATTATAAGAGATAAGGCAACCTGGTGTTTTAATGCAGAAAATTGCTACGCTATACTTTTACTTTTTAAGGAAACTGCTAGAACCTAGAAAAAATCATTTTAAGCAATTTCGATGAGAAAGATCAAAGTTCACTCGTGTGATGATTAAACAAGAAGTATATAAATGCGCAATCTAAGATTTTTACCAATTTTTTTAAATCAATGGCCTTATCTCTTGTATTGCTGATCTTTTAAGTACATGCATATGTAAATTAATTTATCACGATATTATTTAAAAATATTCCCCATGTCTTCTGCACTCTTCACCGCGGTTTTTCTTAACTCTTCTTTCTCATCGCAACGAACCGTTCAATAATATCATCTCGCCTCTATATATAAAAGCAAATTTGATGCTACATTATCGGGAATTATATAACAGGTATATGAACGGTTGAACCTGGACCGTTTAGGACAGCGGATACACTGCAGGGTTTTCCTCTTGACATTTATACCGCACCACTATGCACGCGACGGCTATAATTTAATGAACTCAATATGTGAACTGGAGCACATTAACACGGTCGACAAAGTGGCGGTATGGTCGACGGTCGCGCAACGAAAAGCAATTATTTTTTTTACGTTTATATCCGGCTAAATAAAATTTTTCGTGGGTACATATCCATTAATTAGCATCGCTTTTCAGGTACACTGACTTTAAAAACCCAATAGTTGTAGTCTGAGCACGACTCAGCGTTGAGCATATGGCGCCAGTTGTGCAAACGGCGTTTAGCTGAAACAGGCGGATGCATTGGTTCAAAATAATCTATTTATTTAACAGCATAGCTGAAATTAATTTATTGCATAAGAGGTTGATTCAGTTATTCACAAGGTGTATAATTTAAAGTATTTTAAAATTTTGGCTTACCCATCGTTTAAGCTAAAAGCCCGAGACTAGTCGACTGTTATGCAGATTTCAAGTGTTATTATATATTTCATTAAAAAGCTGGTATATTCAGTTTTGATTTCTTTAATAGAAATATAATCATAAATCTCTCTATATATACTCACCTCTGCATCTCTTTTCCATTTTACCTTTAGCTCGGAACTTAACAAGATTGTTAAAGGTTTTTTTATAAGCTGATAGAGGGATATGCATGGTATCAGATTTACTGAGCTTATGAAAACTTAGATTTGCGCTAAATTTGCCGCAGTAAACTTAAAGCAAACTTGATCATAGCTTGTTTAAATTATTCAGTACTTACATACTACAGGTCAAGTAAATTAAAAATTCTTTCTTATACATGCAACTGTCAGATTTTATGCTGCCAAAGTTCAAAATTTCAAATTGCTAATGGTCGTTTGTACGAATGTGGCAATCGCCACCGTTGCCATGGTTGCAAATGGGGAATCGCCTGATTTTTGCTGCATTGGAAATTTGACTCTCGTCCTATACCTACACACCCCATACTCATTTCTGCATGGATAAAAACTGGTTTTATATTGTTGCTGTATGTATTACTTTAAATTTTTAAACTGCTTCAAAGCTACATGTATACGCTTAATTAACTATATAGACCGCCTGGGGATATATTTTCTTATCACTAAATCAAAGAGTAATCCTATCTCAAAATTATTGACGGCTTATACCATACTGTGATCTTACATGCATGTGATCATAAATCTAAATGAGGTTTGAAACATGCTAAATTTACGCAATCCGAATCAAGTAGCCTACTCATTGATATGATGTAACTCTCCCCCGGTGCGATGTGTAGTGCGCTTTTGACTAGATTTTACGAATTTTGGGATGCTCTTTCCAGCTGTATATCTTAGAACCGACAAATATTTCTACCTCAGCATTTAGTTCAATAGTCCATTGCATCAAAGTTGTCCTCCGACCGAAGTTAAAATGACAAAGGCAGCGCAAAAACTAAGATTGGAGCAGAATATAGAGTATGATATTCATTCTGCTCGAGGTTCTGTCTGACTACATACTGCTTTATCAATGACAGACCACATTCCATACGTTAGAAGTGAATTAGATCCGACAAAATATTTCGGTGAACAGACCTTTGCTATATAGTCAGGCTTTCGAATTTGCGCAAAGTTCAGTCAATGTCAACCACTGACCCCTATTGAGTTACCCCTAATATTAACAGTTTCGTATTATGTTTCGTGAATACAATTTAATGAAATAATGAATAGATTTATAGCAAAGACTTTTAATGAAAAGGATACGTTTTCTCAGCGTCATCTTTGACCACTGCTCCAGCCTAAATAAGTCAACATGTAAAGCATTTTTCTAAATCACATCGTGGAATATAGTCTCGGACGTCTATGTACTATCTATAGCCTTAATATCTAGCGATATTGTGAGCTATGAACCCGTGGGCAATTAAAATTTGGTTTCGGTAGTTGAATGCAAATCGTTGTGTTTTTCAAATCCCCTACATTTCTTATTCCCATTGAGCAAAAGAGGACTAAAAATCGGCTTGGTAAACAAACGTATTCCACTACAAAGGATTGATTGGTTTCTACTTCTGTTGTGCTATAGCTCCCATGCTCAGTGGTTCGCGATTCGTATAGTGTTGTTGCATGCATGCATTGTTTACTGCTCAATTAAGACCAGAAATTAAACAAAAATTTACAGCACATTTTCCTCTCAGTTACGCCTTTGCCACCAATACTATTTGCCTTTACACACGAACCTACATTTAACGTTTGACAAGACTGAATTGGAACCTCGTGACAACCGCAGATACTGTATATCCTCTCGACTGAGAGTACAACTTTCATTGTTTTACACAGAGACGTTCGATTGAGCTGGACTTGACTCCCTTATGGATCAGAGAGCACGTGATTTCTGTGCCACACTCAGTGAGCACGGTCAATTGAAGTGGGCTTTTCAATATGCAGGGTGAGTAAAAAAAACTGACACCTTTGAAATTCAAATTAGGAGGGAACTTATGGCTGGAATTTGACAATTCCCATTGTGTACAATCAACAAGACGTGGTTAATTAATTCGAAAGTCTTTAAACCAATTGAACTAATTCAACGTTCGTTTTTATTACAGAGCTTAGATGGGTTCACTTTTTTGATATGCTTCGTATACCCACGAGATATTTTAGGCAACTTCTGTCACATTACAGCCGATTACAGACACATTGCAGCTAATTTGAATTTCAAAGGTGTTAGTTTTTTTTTACTCACCCTGTATATATAAACTGCAGTTGAGTGATGGCGCTCTTAACCTGGCTACGCGGCCAATGCATGTATATAGTTCTTCATGCATTAAAAAGAAATATATGTACCTGTTGCAGTTCCTGTCAGAGGCTGGCATCACCGCTTTTTTGTCAGGACTATATAAAAGAATTATCTTAGCTATTTTGCAAGCTTTGCTGGACCGATTTATCTACACGTTAATACACTTTTTTCGATTTATGTACACGTTATACCAGATTTAACGAGATATAACGTTATACCAGATATATATTTATATATATCGGTTGCAAATATATTATCATGCAAGTCATTGCATGCAGTTGATAACTCCATGATCATATCATTCAGGGCAATATTACTTGGTTGCGCATTTCACCTTTTTAATTCTGAAGCGAATATCGTTATATTTATACAGACAACATCACAATCTCGCAAGCTATACTTACAACAAACGTTTTCTGAACATCAGCCGTAGTTAGGGTGGTTAAAAGAATCAACAATAGACCAGTTGTAAGCCAAAACGAAGCCATATTTTGGTGTCTGGTCTAAATTCTGACCAGTACAACCTTTGCACCTACGAATGATGATAAGTTGAAATGCTATACTTTTAATACCAAAAAAGTCTCTCGTCAGCAACTCTTGAAACGTGCTGATTGGTGGAATGATGTGACCTTGGTGTCCATGCGACTGTAGTTTGCCCAGTTGGTATTTGAAGGTTTCACATTACTCCAATACAGGGTGAGTAAAAAAACTGACACCTTTGACCTTTGAAATTCAAATTTGTGATAGAAGTTGCCTAAAATATCTCATGGGTACATGAAGCATATCTAAATAAGTGGAACTATTAATTAACCTAAAACATAAAGTTTGTTTCCTTTGGGAGTTAAAATGCATTCTAATCGAGAATTAATAAAACTGTAGAAATTTGCCTGAAACTCTACGAGTTTTTTTAATCAGTCATGTCACTTCATCAAATACAAAATGGTGCAACTGATAACAGAATAACGAGTATTTGTTGTAACAAATTTTATCCTGACACAAAATGTAAGAGAAGTGCAAAACGCATTCAGAATAAAATTTGCCGAACGGAATCCTCCGGCACGAAACACAATTTGGATAACGTGAGAAAATATCAAAACACGGGAACAAGCCTTAGAGAAACGAGGGCAATTCAGGCAGAAGAAGAACAGAAAGAAGTGAGGAAAATATTGACGGAGTAACAGAGCTGCTAGAGCAAAACCCACATGTGAGTTATCGTCAGAATCCCATCGCAGTTTCGCAAACAACATTCAACAGGATAACAAGACTGGACTTGCGCTGGCATCCTTACCGCATGCATGCACGACACGAGCTGACGGAAAACGACTGGCCACGTCGCCTGCGCTGTTCGGAGTGCAGCCAAAACGAAAACTTTTTGCAGCGATTCTTTTTTGGAGACGAAGCGGGATTTGAAATGAACGGGCAAGTAAACACGCACAATGTACGTGAGTATGCACCGAAAGGAAATCCTTTTGGCGTTTAACTTTGACAGATCGAGTGAACTGAGCAGGAGTTTGCGGTGAGGGTTTAATTTAATTGGGACCTATTTTTTTATGCAAATGTAGACGGCTGCGCCTATCTTTGTATGCTGAATGACTTTGCCGTTCCACAACTGGCAAACCATTTCAACAACCAGTATTGGGAGGGAACGTTTCGGGGCCTGTGGTGGGCGCAAGACGGCGCTCCTTCACATCGCCTTTTGGAGGTCAGATATCGATCGTCTAAACGAAACGTTTGGTGCGAATCGTGTCGTGGGTTTGGGTCATAATGTGGAGTACGTGGCCCCCTAACTCACCTTAAACCCTGCGATTTTTTTATGTGGGGTTATCTGAAGGATAAAGTGTTTTCCAGACCACCTGCGAATATCGAGGAGCTGGGGCAGAAGATAATCGATGAGCGCAACACATTACGCAGCTGCCTGAAATTTTCGACTTTATTTCAAAGTCATCTTCAGACAGAATGAAATGCAATACTTTACAATGCTATATGCAACACAGAGAGGAAGCGCGCCTGTTAATCCAGTGTGGGCAGAAGGTGTGTTAATCTAAGCAAGGAAAAACTAGACAATGTTAGTAATAAAATATATATGCTATATTTACAGCCATGTTAGTTAGAGTATTGATTAAAGAAAAAGAAAGACAGAAAGCGTAGATGTAATAGAAAGGTTTGTTATGTTTGATTAGGAGTGCTTCACTGAAGAAAGGCTGACAGGCGAGAATACGACACTGAATATCTCATCTCAATTATGCATATAATTTTATTAATTTACCGGTCTTCTTATTAACACGAACTTCGGCGTGGGACTACATATACAACTAATAGAAGATCGTTTATATTACCTGCCGAGTATCAGAAAAGCCGCATTGTCGTTGAAAAAAAAGGTCGAGCACAGTCTGCCTACCTTTGACTACGATAAGATTCAAAATGTAAATAGATATTCTAGTCATAAAAATTGAAGTTCCGGTACAGAACAATCAAATTTACCGTTCAGACTAGAAATGTTGTCCATAATCTTTATTTAGATATCAAACATGTTATATACAAACAATTATGCACGGGCGTTTCACAGCTAAACAAGGAAACATTTTGAAACAATATGAACATTGCTTGATTATTGGACAGTTGACACTCGGAAACGGTGATAAGAGATTAGTCATTAGTTGAAGTCAGTGTGGCAACAGCACGAGCCGGAGACACAGTTTTAATACATTTCTATAAGAAAGAAGAAGTTACTGTTGTGGTTCTAATCTAATATATATTACTGGGCTATTCCCCATACGGCCCCGACGATTCATAGGTATTGCGCTTATAAAAGAAATTCCAAATCCGTCGGGCAGAACTGAATAATTTATATGAATATCCCCACTGTATAATTATTTGTCATTCATTGTTAAAATTTGAATGCCGTGTTCACGAATTTCAGCCCGTGGGGATTTAATGCAACTTTTAAAATGCTAAATGCTTTGTGTTGCTAGAGAAAGGGGACATGTCGAAGGTCAAGGTCCTTGAGATGCACATTTAAATAATGTTATCCATATTTGTAAATATTGTTAATAAATATAATTTTTGCGAACAAGCAAATTTTACTGCATCATATGCATGCATAAAAATGAGTATAGTAAACATTTATACACCTGTGGGTCCCAACAGAGTGCTTAGGCATTCAAACTCTAACAATTGCATTGTTATGGGTGATTTCAATACTTTTCGTTTTTTTTTGGGACACCCTGTAGTTTGAGTGCGGTTCTAGTCTGAGTGTGGTTCTTGTCAGTCTTTACGACAGCAATGACAGAATATCCCAAATTCCCCCCGGCATGCAGACTAGGAACATGTGTAGGTGACATCATGACATAAAAACTAGCCATGTCAGAGGGAGTTTAACCATCAAAAGTATGATAGCATGACCAGTTTAATATGATCTGCCCAATGAAAAAGTTATGGGAACAGAGATACCGTAAAACAACTTAAACTGATGGTGTCGGTGTGATTACATGAGCCCGGTTACCCGGGATTCAACGAAGCGTAAGATATTTTGAAGTTTAAAAAAAAGTCTTTGTGAAACCAAACAAGCACATGCTTTGTCGGGATTCGACCAATATTTGCCGACCTCTCTCGATCGACAGAGGCAGCAGAGGCCGGTTGTCCCAAAGGCGTTTATCTGAAAATTAAACTATTTACATCGAAATATTTCAACTCAGTTGTTCAATAAATAGATAATTTTGCTTTCCAGCTTTAACTTATCTACCGCTTAAGCTAAACGCCTTTCGAACAACCGGCCTCAGCAGTTTAGAAACGTTCTCTAGCAATCGAATTTTTTACCTTGGTTATATTTCTGCAATTCGCAAAATCTAAAAATATATTTTGGTCGTGTTCTCCCAACGAATAGATAAAAACCGCTATTCGGATAGTTGATGAATTGACGTGTAATATACCAATAAATTTTGTTCAATTAAGATATTGTTAACGTTCTCTCCATGGTTGAAATATTAATTTATTACTAGCTTTCGGCTATCAATATCAGTCTATATAGCCTTCAACGGGTAGAATGCAAATGTGAAAAGACGCCAACAATGAAATATGAAACTACATACATATGATGTGCCAACTATAAAGCAGAATATTTACAAGCAAATAGCGCATTGACAAGGGTTGATAGCCGCAAGCTTGTAATAAATAAAAATAATTGCAAGTTTCAACGAGAGAACGTTTCTTACTAATTATGCACATCTACTATATTTTCTGTTTCGTATTCTTGATATAAATTTTCCTGTAGGGTCCGGATTTTTTCCGCTATCACCAGGCAGTTGATAGTTATACAGTGGGATGATAACTATGGGCAGTTCAACCATGCGAAAAAATGTAAAGATACTGAAGTATTTCGATCATCAAAGCTTTATTAAAAGGTCGGCAAACAGTGGGCAAGATCAATAGCGAAGGCGATTTTAAGTTTGTTCTTTTACTTGGAGGCCATTATGTGTGAAGGCTATTATGGCCTTTATGGCCTTTATGGGTAAAATGCAAATTAGTTTACATAGGACACTCGTCGTGTCGCAATTTTCTGTTAATGTAATATCGAAAAGGATATGCCAAATGTGGAAGCTTCCGAGTGCCATACCAAACATTACTGCCCGTTTACTACATTTGGGATGAAATCATGTAAGATGTGGTGAAATAAACAGCGTTTTTAGATTAATCTTTTCTTTGATATTCAAGGCGATGTCCTTGAGTTCAGTCACTACGATGAGATAATTGGCTCAATAGCTGCTTTCATTCCGCACAGTTAATATATCGGCCCAATATATGGAGATTACTATCATGAGTATTAAACTGCTATTAAGGCTATAGCAGCATAGACAAACAACCTTAAATATAAATGGCGTCTCGCTTATGTTGTTTAAAGCGAGGCAAATGTTCGCAGTTCTTTCTAATTTTGACATCTCTTCTTAGTACACTTCTAATTCTATTCAATGAGTTTATGGACCCGTGTGGTTTTACGATTACAGAAGGGATTCAGTCGTTTTCGTGTCAAATCAATTGCCATTTGGAGAGGAATCTTGCGGACAAAGATCTATATTCCAATGTGGAAATTGTAGGAATTCACCAACGAAAAAGTCAAGCACGTGGTAAAGAAAAATACATTCTTGTTTTACCGAGAAAAACCGCTTGTAGCTCGTGTGGAAGAAAGTCCTGTTATAGTGTCAACCATCTTGAAGATATTCTTGAATCTTGGAGTGATTTTGATGGGGCTACTTGTGCTGGCCATTCTGTAAACTCTATAAACAACACCATTGAATCATGTGGGTTTTTGACCAAACACTGGAGTATGGTTATAAACGAAGGGGGTCAAATACAAACAAGGCAAATGGCTACACAAAATATATCGTTCTTTAAATGCAATATTGTGGAAGCACCATTCCTGATTCGACGAAATGTGTTTGATAAACTTGGTTTTAGACCATCCCATGGGGAAGCTACATTAGTTGACTTCTTTCTCAGATCTAAAGGCACACTCAAATTTGCTACCTCATTGAATTGTACTTTTATTGATGAGCAATTAGTTGCTGATAGAGGAGCCATGGAAACAAAAGAGATTTATCTGGACTATGGACTTTTGGGATACCATCACAACATACTAAGGGTTATTCGCAAGGACTCTATTACTTGGACCATGTGTACAAGAAGGGAATATTATTGCCCAAATAAGCCACAGAAAGAAATTGAAAATCCCATTTCAAGGCAACTTTCACTATTCTGTTGTGATGTTGCTCTAAATCAATACTTAATTGATGGAGTTAATGGGCTTAATGAAGTTGGGATAGACTACCGTCTTTGTCGTGGCACCTTGTTAGGTGCTGTGAGATCTAAAAACATTATTCCATGGACAAGAGACGTTGATATTGATCTAACTCCTACAGACTATACGGATTCTCTGGGTTTTTACAGGCTACAAAAAGTGATGCAAAAGAAACGCTATGCTACCCCTCTTATATATCAACTTAGAAGAATAATGCCCCTTTTTCCTTTGAAAACCCATATCCCTAACCTGTTGAATAATGACCTATTTAGCCAAAAAGTACTGGATCAAATGAGAGGTTTTATACCTATCAGTAAACCTGAATGGAATTCAATAGGTTATGTTGACATGTACGCTTATGAAGGGGGTAGGACTGTGCCAACAAACATTACTATCAATGGACTGAATTACAAAACACATAGTAATCCTGAGCAGTATCTCGCTAAAACTTTTGGTTCATCTTGGAGGCAAGCCCATCTTAGTGGTAGGTCCCATGAACCACACAAGCCATGGATTTGGAGGTTAGATACAAGTAGAGTGCAGGAAGACATTCCTACCCTTGAGAGTTATTGTATCATTTATCAGAATTGTAGCATGGGTTTTCTTTCTATAGTTTCATTTTTATTTATTGCTCTTATTTTTTTACCAATTCTAATGAGGATCGTCAAGAATATTCTAAGCCAGCTTCCCTGAAAAATTATTTGAATTATATTCTTAAAATTCTGCATAGTGATCAACAGCATGTTATTATTAGTGCGTATATGCATACCAAATGTACTTTTATTACTGGAGACTTTCAGTCCATTAACAAAGGCCTTCACTTCACATGCAATTTGCTATCCCTCTGCCTTATATTAGTAGAGTAAAAAAATAAAGGCCTTAAATTCAGGTGGCCCATATCCTATCTAGTTTTGGCTGAGGAAGGTACTAATTTCCCTATATCATATGATGAATTTCACAGGGTATTTGTTACACAAAAACAACATTACAGGACATTTAAAGCTTAGATTGATTATTCAGACATTAGGCCTGTACAACTGACCATAATTGCTGAGGGGTACCGGTACTTCTCAATTAAGAAACACATTTTATCTGAAGCCTTTACTTCACCAGACTGAGAGTGACCACAATTGCCTGCCTCCTCCCCCTTCCCTGACATATTCCAGCTTGATTTTGAACTTTTGTTTATTTTTTATAATGACAGGGGAGTAGTTAGAATGGGGTGTTTAATTCCCTAAGTTAAAATCACAATGCCATAAAACCTAAGTTAAAATCACAATGCCATAAGATCAAAGCACTATTTCACTGTTTACATAAGTCATAATGCACTTGGAATATACAATTATTCCTTCACTAAAGCATGCAAATTTGTATATCGGTCAATTCAAAATTCTTACCTCCCAGGGATGTTTCAATATTTAATTGTTTCTTGGGGAGCAGGAGTCTTGAAAATTTGTCGCTGCGATACAGCGAACAAGCGAAGCTTTTCATCACGTTGTTGCAATAGTAATATAGCAATAATTTCCCGGAAATACTGCCCTTCTGCTCGCGTACATTTAACTTAAGAAATTTTGACGAATTCATACCACAGGCAGCCCAAGCAGTCACTATATGTTATTTTTTGTTATTGTTATGGGTAATAAGTTGAGTTACATTAAATCAGCAAATTATAGTAGACATTATAGTAAATTTTAGTCAAATATATATTGTCAAAAAATTATGTCTGTGATACTATGTGCCAGAAATAGTATAATGCGTAATCTAGCTTTACATTATTCATGTTTGAGGTACTTTATATCAGCAAATTATGATAGACTTAATATAGTCTTATATATAAATTTGTCAACAAATTGCTAAATATCGTATCAAATTAAGATATAGAGTTACTCCTTTCTACTACAAGTTGTACTACACCTTTCTGTGTTGGCTTGATCTGATTTTGAATCCGATTGAGGGAGGTCACTCATACTATAAATAGTATGTACAGTATAAGAGCATACCCTAAACCTGATATTTACGCGGTTACGACACAAGTTGTATTACGGGCCTTTCCTGTGGTATTCTATAACAAAGCGGCCACATAAACCTTTTCCTTACAGTATAGGCCTTGTCCAGACTAAGTTTTAGTGCGCGTGTATTTTACATAATCGAAAACTACTAGATACACTACGCCCATGCAGATCCTGAACTGGGCGGAAGTTGTTCACTAAAGCCTTCCCCTGACCATCTTTCAGTGCTCGGAATCTCTTGAGCTAAACGTTATCAAAATATAAATAGATAAAAAATTAAATAAAAAATAATAAATAAAATAAATAAATAAATAAATAAAATAAATTTTGTTACAGTTATATAAAATATAGAGCTTCGAAATTTGTAGACTTCACATGCGGAGAAATGCTGGGTGTTATCTTAGTAAATAACAACTGGATGGGTTGATTAATAAGAACCCTGCGTACCACGTACCAACTATATGAATGAATTTTGATCGCTGATCCTGTGCATGCATGGAGCCCAAAATTTGGAGTAGCAGACAGCGTATACTTTCATATTTTTCATTTATTTTTCTGATCAACTTCAAATGTGGTTTAAAAACTGCCTTAAAAACTTCTCGACGCTTCGACCTTTCGTCAGAACCTCGTCAGAATAGATGATACCACCGCGAGGGATATTATATCTTTTTGGCATTTTACATCTGGCGAAAAAACCCCAAACTGAGCTATTTAATTTTAAAGTGTAAATAACGAGAATCATTAAACGCGTTTCGCACAATCGGGAAGTGACCGGAATAAACTAGAAATATGTATAAAATGTACAAATAGTATGATTGTATTACCTGTTGTTGTGATATTTCAATAGGAGTGTACAGAACTGTCCAGGTAACGTTATCAAAACATGGCGGTGTTGTTAGTGAACCTTCATAACGGTAGAACCTCTCAGTGTCCTTTGGTAGCAGGTTTTTTACGTCGAATGACGGAAACCTAAATTTTGTACCTATAGTATAGGGAAGAAGTTTGATATACGGAAAGAATGAATGCGGGCATGCATTTTTAACTGATAAACTAGAGGTGAATAATCATTGGTTTGGTTCAGTTTACGTTATTCTTTTTACCTATATTCTTTACTCTGTGAATGTACTTTAAAAAGTTGTCAAATACTGGATTCCGTCGTCCAACCTAAACCAAGGTAAAAGGCAAAAAAGATGAATGCAGTTTCCTTTATTTATTGCGTATAGCAAATCGAGGGGTAATGATAGCATGCCTTAATTTGACATTACGTCTAAAAAAGACTTTGGAAAATTAAAAGCCCTTTAACAGCTGGGCCAATATATGCAGTATTAAAAGATGAGTGCTTGTTTATTATAAGGATTTATCATATCCAACCTAGTACCTCTAGTCGGGTTTACAGTTAGTCAGTCATACTTTAGGTTAACGCGTATAATTATCATATGTTGACATTTCTTCTATTCACAACCCCAATAATGAAACGCGAAGTGGAAGTTAAGGAATAAATTAATTGCCATGTTATGCTTGGTTAGGCTAAAATATAGCTTTTAGAGGCACGGGCAATATATATTTGAGCGAAACCCTCTAGTTTTGCTCAGTTTTATTCCAGCGAACAATTGAGGAGAAACAGAACAAACAAGGGTTTTGGAAAGACAACCCATATTGAATAATTAGTTTATACTTATCAATGTCGTAAACAAGGTAAATTAAAAAAAATTACAAACCTCGATCATAACTCCAAGAACAGCGAGAGCTTTAGGTTGATCAATAGCGACAGATAAATTTTGAAACTTTATGTTATAGTGTACAAAGTGAAGCTGTAGGAACACAAAGTACTAGTATGAAACATTATTACCAAAGATAAAATGATAAAAACGCGTCAAGTGTAGCTTATATTTATACGAGAGTGAATTATAAATAAAGGATGAGCGTTCATATAATTTACAGCAGACAAATTGACGAAATATACGAGGTATTAGACATGCTTCAGGATATGAATTGTTTCCAAAATCATTTGCTTGATTAATGAAAGGATTTATACTTTTTCGCGGTCTTGCCTTACCTCAGCGGGAAAGCTTCTTCCTTCAAACTGGTGTTCAGAACCAATCTCATTGCTACTTCCCCAGTGAAAGTGCAGATGATCTAACAAATAACGTCTCGCACGGTTCAAGGTTAACGAAGCCAATGCATTTCTTAGATCAATCTTGAAAGTCTTGCCATCATTTTGCATTGTGAAGTCTCCGCGACATGGGCATGTGTAATGGGAAAACTTCAAAGAGGATCTGAGGGAAGGTCTAAAGTCTTTCTTGTAGAGGGGGATGTTGATGGGGGATTGACGCTTGTTGCTGCATAGAGGGAAGGATCTCGACCAATGAGAAGGACCTTAAAGAAAAATAGAAAAATATTTTAATTTAAATTGAATCAGGAGTGCCATCGAGAAAGAGGAAGCAGTATCATGCAAATAATCAGCTGAAAATTTTATTTACACACGCGTCTTCAGTCTTTCAATGCCACCTTAAGGCGTTCACACGGCACCGGATGAATTTGGAACCGTGCTCGAAAGAGAAGAAAGTTTGACCGGTTCTACGTGTTTACACGAGGAAACTAGACGAACCCGAACATGGTCCCAAGTTCCTCCTGTCCAGTGTAACGCATAGCCTATGACGGTATAGTCGTGTAAGTATAATCCTGAAGCAATCGTCGATATAGTGACAAAATTCCGCATGCCACCTCCCGATGCATGGGAATCAGCTTTATGAACAGTAACGGGAATATAGATGGAATCAGCTTCATAAAATATAATAATCAAAAGATCATTATGTAGTATATTTTAAAAAAAGATGGATATAGGTGTAAATAAATGTGCAGAAATAGTGAACCGATGTTTGAGTTGTCAAATTGGGGTCAAGACTCACCATTTTTTCCATGGAAACTCCAGTCAATTTTGGCGCTTTCTAAAATTAAAATAATAATGACAGTATAATGAAACTGATTGCAGGATTAAATGCAAGGGCTGGGTGGGTGTCCAAAAAAAGAGGCAATTAGCAAATTTTGTTTTTTTGAAGTAGCTCTCAACGAGGAAAGCTCTTAGGCTACAGTCAACAGTACCATGATGTTTTGTGATTGAATTTTTGCCAAACACTGCGGTTGCCGTTAGGCTACGCTTAGGCTGTGGTTCGATCGTGGGTCGGTTGCTGTTGTTCGATGCGAGCTAATATCTGTCTAGTAGCGAGCCAATCAGAGTGCACATTAGCTCATATCCTGCGCTTGTGTATATAATAAATTTATATAATATTATTCGTTTTATACACGTCCGATTTCTTTTTACTGCGTTTACGCGTTTATTCAAACACGAATATATGAATACACACTTCTCCCAATAAAGCGTTCTGTACCTCGAAGGACCCTGTTCTGTACTATGCAGTATTAATGGTGGGTTCGAGGGCACCCCAGTGGCAGATCTGGGGGTTTTGTAGAATAAATTACACAGCTTAATTTTAAATTCAAAACGCCTTAATAACAACGCTATTGGTTATAGATTTAAAAATATTTTTTTACATTAAAATCTACCAATGCGATTCGGATTTTAAGTTGTAGTAATTTATTCTGCACACCCCTAGATCTACCACTGAGGGGGCACCCTGCTAGCGCTGCATGTGGAGCGTTCATCCATGGTGGCCGTGCCTGTCGCAGCGTTGATGTTTTACCGTACAAAATGTAAAATACTCACCGGTGAAAGTGGTCAAACTGACAGCCAAGAAATAGCTGAAGAGTAAAGGGCTCCTCATTGCCTACATTGATAAATAGGAAAATATCATAAATTCTTATCCTTGATAATGACCACACTGCGATAATATCAAAACATATCAAAACTACGAAGCAGGGATTATCAAAGTTATATATATCTCAATGATCTCATACACAGTGAATCTGCAGAAATAAAAATTGAAGCCTACTTATTGCATGCAATAATAAAAATTGTAGTCTTTGATTGAATATGCATTTCAAAAATGTATCTGAAACACTGAAGTAAATATTTTGAAACATGCTAACAATTACAATCACGTCCTATATTAATTTTAACGAATCTTGAGTGTCATATAATTCCAAACGTAGCTAAAATAGTAAATTCGTTTTCTCATAATATACTCATTCCAAACTAGGCTATATTGATTGTAAATATTGAAACAGTATTTTGCGGTAAACATTGTGGAAACCACATCTTGACAATGAAATACAAGTTCTACGAGATATCTCCGATGAAATTAAGCTATAGATGTGACCAAATACTCGACTCGCCTGCTGCCTCACCACCTAAGCACTTACAGTTGAACTGCTGAGTCAACCTTTAAATATAAGTCCATCAAAAATTGGGGATGCCCCGAAGTCAGCATTCGCCCACTACCGGCGAAAGATCTTGTCTCTATAGTTGCCATGTTGTTGTATTGTGCGCAACCACATGCAATGGTAACTATATGAGGATTCATGTTTGTATAGATACTGGCTTATAAATTTAGTTGTACAAAGCGGTCGACAAGGTCATCCTACTGGAAGATTCAATATTTCACAATGAAGTCCTAACTCTCGGAGACATTTTAGCAACAGCAAAGTTATGATACAACTCAATATTTATAGACTCATGCAAGATGACTATTTTTGAACAATATATCTTAGAATAAGTAATGCACTACAATTACTGCATATTAGATTGCATGTTGCAGAAACTAGAATTTTATGATGCCACGAATATAATAAAGCCTTCTTTAACAAACAGGGGCCTGTTGTAGCTATAAAACTTTTAACTACATTTTAAGTAGTTAAATCGTAGTTATAACTATAAAATCCATTATTCTGATTGGTCAATTCTGCCACTAACTATAGTGAAAAGTTAACTCCCTTTTTATAACAACCGGCCCTAAGGTGATTTGTCTTGTGTCAATTCATTATTTGAGAATTTCAAACTACAGAAGTTGAAGCTAATTCAACTCATTGAGCATTTTTTCTGGGATCGTGTGGACAAGGCGTCAAAGCGATAAATCAGATAAAAACGATTTTGAAGACGCTGGAAAACGACGCTCGTGTGGACGAGGAAAACGACGCTGGAAAACGACATAGCCTTAATGAAATATCACGAGGAAAGTTGCAGGATTGGTGAAAGATGATTATGAACTATTCTAATTAATCTCATCTAATCTCACCTAAAGTCTTTTTCACTCATCGCAAAATCAACTTGCAAGCTCGCTGCGAGTGTTTGCATCTAATTAAAATAAACTGTCCACTGTCATTGTTATTGGACGAAATTACTGGCCGAGAATTTGCGAATTAGTTTATGCGATGAGTGGAAAACAGCCTTAAGCGAGAGCCTTTAGCCAAGTGGGAGCCTTCAGTCTGCACGAATTCCATGAAAATATAACAAAACAAAAAGCGCAACCAACTTTAACTAATTATAAATAAGCGCTTTACTTAACTTTACTTTATTGTCTTTTTTATAGCTATAATCAATACAAGAACAGCATGCAGCAGCTACAAACTGACGAGTCCGTAATACACATTTTACAATTGCTCCAAAGTCAGAAGCTGATGTAATTTTAAATATGTGTAGAGGGATGAGTATCTTGAAACAAAATTTTTTACTGTATCCCCTTCCAAGTGTGCCGTTTTGGAGATCTGGCCGGCGTATGGGTGCAACTATGCATGAGGTGAGGGTATAACAATATGACTAATGATGTGTTATTGCACCGGTTCGCGGCACATGAGAGGCATAGCGTTTGAAACAGGCAATATAAGTATAATCACCCTCTGAACGTTTTCCGATCATCGACTAAACGCATTTGCCTGCATTGTTAAGCCCGCCGGACATGTGAGCTATTAGGGAGATTTAGCATGAAGACGTGAACGTCAAAGACGACGTGAAAATGGCGAGTAAATGGCGTGGCATGTCCATGATTTTGGCGCATCACGCCATTTATTCGCCATTTCAACGTCGTCTTTGACGTTCACGTCCTCATGCTAAATCGTCCTATTAGCTGAGCACAAAGACCACGCGTGGTTGTTAGCTGAGCAAGTTATATACTCTCGAGTGCGGATAGTTTTTCGTGAGGAATTCGCCTCGAGAGACAAGTTTCTCACGTGTGCCGATAGTTTTCGGGCCGAGCTAACTGGGACTAACGAGGTCGATAGCTCTCGTGTGCGGCGGGCTTTAGAACTGATTTGTCTGAATGATACATTGAAAAACCCTTTTTAATATTGAATCAACTTCTACTATAACTGCATTGCACGCCAACAATATTCATGTAATTGCAAGACATAGCAAGTTTTTACCAAAATGGTTATCCACACGGCTAAGAGGTATGCAATTATCATTCCAACGAATGCAAAAAATGGCCTATGCCGCAATCTTCATTCGTATCAAGTTCAGGGTGAAATTTAAGTCATGTTTGTACGTGTGTGCATAAGTTCACATACCCTAGGGTAAGAATTGTATACGGCGAATTGCACAGTATAAATGTGCCTAAAGAAAAAGAGGATGAAAACCTGTAGTATATCTATAGGTTGCACATTCTGTAACACATACCAGTTCATTGGACAGTTCGCAATTTCAGTGCAAATTAAATTCAAATCAGAAAACGCAGGCATGCGCACGACACAACCATCAAAACGGACGTACGTTTTTGATTGATGTCAGTGGTTGATCATGTTTAAGGTGGAGGCTTGATTTAAAAAAATAAACTAATGTGATTTAGAGCTGTAGTAATTATTCAGCCTTACCATGGATCCGCAACTGATTTATGTTTTGCAATGCCTGCACGTGAATTTAGGTGTAAGTTTGTTTTAATTTATTTTTGAACTATACTGCATTAAAACCATGCACTGCTCTTACACGAATATGTTGCATTTTCGATGCAAATGACTAAATATTGAGACGCAAAGATCTTCCCGCAAAAGCATTAAGCATATAATATAATATGATATATACCCTTGAAATTTTGACTGAGCTGATTTCATTTAAAATTAGTGTCAGCTAATGTCTGCATCTTTCCAGAATTAATTATAAAGGAATGCATTCCCAACACCCTTATACATGCATGCCTTATTTGCCGATCGATTTACCAGAAAAAGACACTAATTAATTTGCTGATGTAAAATGAAGAAATAATAATGCTTAAAACTCTGTACCATCCCTCCCATTGCTACACGGATACATTGCCACACGTCACTGCCGACGTGAATCGGTTTTATGAACGCATTTTAGGAAGTTTAAAGCATACCTTTAGATGTTAAGCAGGTTTGCGTAGATCCAAACAGCTCGAAACTTCCCGATCCTACGCAGAGAAAAACTACATGGCAATAGAAGTTTACAATATGTTGAAATACTTTTATCTACTTCGTTGTGGGGATACATAATGGCTATAATATGAGCCAATATTTCTGCTGAATATCCATTGCTCGCGTTCGTATTCAACGCGCAAATCTATGTACGAACACTTCATGCCCAGACATAAGTATACGTCTTTTACTGGCACTGTTCTTGTTTATATTTTATATTGAGACCAGTAATTTGCTAACCGCGTTACCCAGCGACAGTAAGTGCTAGTTTGATAGTTTTCCTAGCGGCAAGTAAACTCGAGAGCTTCTTAGTAACGGTAACGGAGATAGACGCTTAACACCAAAAGAGGTGTGTGTGGGGGGTTACAGTGTGTTGCAACCTATAGCTACTACAGGTTTTCATCCTCTTTTTCTTTAGGAACATTTACACTATGCAATTTGCCGTATACAATTCTTACCCTAGGGTATGTGAACTTATGCACACACGTACAAACGTGACTTAAATTTCACCCTGAACTTAATACGAATGAAGATTGCGGCATATAGGCCCTCTTTTGCATTCGTCAGAATGATAATTGCATACAACTTATCGTGTAATCTAAATACTTTAGGTTTTTTGCAATCTGTCTTCTCACTCTTATAGAAGACTGGAAGTTGTGTTTTTGCCTGTAGTTATCGTGAAAAACTACAAACCTCTGTTTTGTTTCAGTCGGTGCAAGTAAATTTAAGGAGTAATGGAGTAGATTTGCAGACGAAAGTGCTTGCATGAATATAGATTAGCATATGGAATTTACACCGAATGATATTCAAATTATTTTTGCAAGGGCGAATTTCAAGAAATATAGCCCATACATAGCAACATGCAGATATTTTACATCACATGATTGGCACTCCCATTAATAAGACTTCATTCATCGGCATAACAAAATCAGTGAAATGATTGTTTTGGTTCCATGTTTTGTCGAGTGGGAATAAGAGATGCTGACTTGCTGTCTCGCTGACGCCGTTGTGTTGTTGCATCCTCCTGCACACCCTCCTAGTTCCACTAATCGGGAGATCTAGAATCAAATTTTAGCAAGCTGTGCTGAATCTATTACTTAAAACGTCGATGTTGGCGAAATATACTTCCACGTACACTGGATTAATATTGCTTGTGTGTTCTTGTAAACAAGTTAGTTTGGATGCTCAGTTTTGTCAGTTTGATCGGAAAAGAATGTATATTTTGAATACATTGTATACATACAATATAATTTCAGGGATCTCGTTTACACGGTATACCTGATTCAGTGCTATCGGAGCAGGTCAAATTACGTAGTTAATAAAAGGCATGTGCAGTGAACATTTTAAAAGTCAGAGAGCTGAATAAATATATACAATATCTATCAAAATAATTAGTATTTTCAAATAATCGTAAACTTCATAAGTCACAATGGCTAACGAGAATTTCGCGATGAGCGGACGGTGA